CTCGCTCCGTGCGGAGGCTCGGGGGCTCTTCCTGCACCCAAAACGAAAGCAAGCCACCCAAGCTCGCACTCGGAGATTCGGAAAAACGCGACAAGCCCGTTACGGTCCAGGGGTTCGAAGGCTGGCCCCCCCAAAGGTTTTGACAGCCGCCCCAGGACAACAGAGTCAGGGACAACTATGGGCGAGCCCGTGCATGGCCGAGGCCCGAGCAAACGATCGCTCGGGATGCCCTAAGTCATGTCCGAGACCGGCAGGGAAATCTCCGAATGGGATCCCACCGTAGGGAGGCGCCGAGCCCCCGGGGCCAATCGAACGGACCTAGGACCCACTAGAGAAGCCCTCTAGTACTTTTGGAGTGCGTCTCTGGACCGCGAGTCGACCCCTATCGAATGGGGCACGGGCCTCCACCAGGACTTACCCGATAGCAGCTCACCGGAAGTGTCACCGCTCGCGCCCACCGAGGGTAGCCTGGCATATTCCACCCCTCCTTTCGAGCGAAAAGGATGTGCGAGGGTCGCATAAAAAGCCAGGGGAACTCCTGATCGCCCTCTCGCTCCGTGCAAGAGGCTCGGGGGCTCTTCCTGCAGCCTTGCCGAGACCCAGCGACCTAGGCTCGCACTCGAGGGGGCTCGGCAAACGAACCCCTCCTTCCGAGCGAAAAGGATGCGCGAGGGCCAGCCGAAAAAGACAGGGAAACCACTGATCACCCTCTCGCTCCGTGCAGAGGCTCAGGGGCTCTTCCTACAACTAGGCCAAGTCCCCGCGACCTGAACTCGCATTCATGGGCCCGGCAAACACGATAAAACTCCTTGCTCAACGGAGAAAAAATCCCCTGGAGGAGTAAACCCACTCCTCAAGGGCCTCGGGGGCTACACCTGGTGGGTGCGCTCGCGCGCACCCACCGGAACCACCAAGTACAAAACATAATCCCAACGGGAGCTGCTGCGAGCCAAGTCTCGTCAAAACCTCAGGGGGAGTACTCGCGCGCACCCACCGGAACCACCAAGTACAAAACACAATCCCAACGGGAGCTGCTGCGAGCCAAGTCTCATCAAAACCTCAAGGAGAGTGCCCGCACTCCCCTCGAGGCTCGGGGGCTACTGTCGGATACCACAAGAAGGGGTACCCTAAGCAAGAACCGAAAATATTGCTTAAGCCTTGCAAAAATTAAAGCCAAAGGACAACCACGAGGTCTCGGCAGATTCTCCGATTAGCTCGAGGCTTGCGCCGAGGCCTCAGACGAAAGGCCGCCGAGGCCCTCTCGCCGAGGCCCCGCCCCGCAAGGCCTCGGACGGGATACCAATTCTCCTATTCACGCGAGGCTGGGCTCGACAACAACCTCGTCACCTCCGTCCTGACCGACTCCCCTGACAAAACGTCATGTCCAGTTAATACGCCCAACTACTCCCAGAACGTCACCAGACGTTGGCAAAGACAGCAGAGTGACAAGCGGAGACAGGGACCGCCGCAGCAGGGTTTACCTACCATCGTGCTCATCATCATGCCTCTTGGCCGGCACCAGATCGCCTGTGTTACCTAACTCCTCGCGCCAAGGACAAAAGCGGCGTGGAGGGTCAAGTCCGGTCCCTATAGTCTCGAGAATCGGCATGAAAGACCAAGCGATCGCTCTCGCTTCGTCCGAGACCCCGGCAGGTCTCGGACGTACTATCCTTTCTCCGCCTCGGCCAAGGCCGGGCTCGTCCCGCATCCTCGCCGCCTCGCCTCAACTGTCCCTTCGGGCGAGCCGTCCCATCCGTTTAAGCGCGCTGGTCACACCTACTACGTCGACCATGATGGCGGGTACAACAACAGAGGCGAGGGGACAATGGTCAAATCTCATTTTACCATCCCCACAGACGGCGGGGGCTCTGCGTTCTGTGGACACACGCTCCACACTTTTCCACCTAAACCGGGTACGACGCTGACCACCAAGACCCCCGCATTATACACGGGTCATCTCCGAGGCCTCGGCAAAGCAGGCCTCAGCACGATCAGCTACGACACCCGCCAGGCCTCGGCACTCCGTCAAGTCAAGAATCCACAAGGCACGGTACGTCCCCTACAGTGGAGGCCATACTGACTAGACGTCAACAAGGACTCCCACAACCTCAAGCAACCTCAGGCCTAGCCAGCACGACACGCCAGTCAAGCACCGATCGCCATTCCCAACACCATGCTGCTACAGGACTGAACTACAGTAGGCTCCACGTGTAGCTCACTCATGTACTCCTGGCTCCCTCCTTGCGGCTATAAAAGGAAGCAGCCAGGGATAGCTCTAGGGGAGGGGAGAAAAACATACGAAAGAACCACGCTCTCACACACGCGCAAGCGACACTCTGCAACACACACTCCCCCCGCTGCCTGAGAACAACGCCTCAAGTAGCCCGCACCGCACCATGCCGAGACCTGGGACTAGCCCCCTCTCTCACCTAGCTTGTAACCCCCTACTACAAGCACCTCGGTGCAAGGAATACAAGATCAATCTTTCAGACTGGACGTAGGGCACCGATTGCCTGAACCAGTATAAACCTTGTGTCTCTTTGCATCACCATCCGGGATTAGGGGCACGCAGTTCAAATTCACGGTTGGTTGAGGACCCCCCCGGTCCGAAGCACCGACAGGATGATTATGATATAATATTACCCTTTTGAGGGTGGGATATCCCTATCCCTATCCCCATCCTGCCTGGTCTAAATCCAAATGCCACCTAGATGTATAAGACAAGCAATGTGATCAACTTTCCATTCATATCTCCTCCTACACCGCCTTTGCTTTTCAATTTCTAACAATCCTAAATTAAAAAAAAACTGACAGTCTTTTTTTCTCGAGCACACTCTCCCCTACCGCCATTGGCGGATCTTGCTCCAGCCCACACTTTCCAAAATTAAACAATTTTCACTCACCTCTCAAACTTAATGGTTTTTTTGCCCCCACCAATGCCCTGTCGGTCTTGGGCGGATCTCATCACTAGACTACCGCCATTGTCACCCTCCCAATCAAATTGTGTGGTGGTCAAGATATCAATCGTGATGGCTAGTTGCGAATTAGCGTGAGGGCTTTTTGGACGGGTGGTGAGGGGGAGGCGAGGTTGAAGCCCTCCTTCCCCTATGTGAAATAATGAGCATCCTCCAAAGCCAGCCTCCCTCTCCGCACACAACCACACACAAAACAACTTCTATGTATGGATAAAAAGGCCGAAGAGAAAAAAAAGAGGAATATGAACAGGGGAATAAAAAGATCAAGTAGAAGTACCGAATTGTCCGAACCGGTCATCATATATTTGATACCCGTAGTTGTCGCTACCTTTCCACCTTCCAACCGAATCTCCATCATCGCCTGTGGCGGGAAACATCCTTGCCACCTTGTTGTCTCATTTACCACCGCCATGTGTAATCGTCTGTGACGGGCAACGTTCCCGCCACCTTGATGTCTCATTTACCACCACCACGTGTTACTCGCCAGTGGTGGGCAACGTCCCCGCCACCTAGTTGTTTCAATTACCACTTTCATGTGTTACTCTATTGTCCCGAACCTCCGCTCAAGTCTACTAGAGATAGTTACACCGCCTCCTTTTATTTACATCTTAAACCCTAAATCCCTAACCTATCCTTGAAAGTTCTATGGAGGACAATAAAACATTTTTTTTATAAAAGAGATCAATCTTGTTCGGGTGTAATATATAGCTAATCTGATCTTTTTGGACGGTGGTGCTCAAGACATCAATCGTGGTGCCCAGTTGCAAATCCAGCGTGAGGGCTTTTTGGATGGGTGTGGAGGCAGGTTGGGGGACTCAAGCCCTCTTTACCTGCGTGAAACAGTGATCCTCCTCCACAGCTAGCCTCCATCTCTACACACAAGCACACACGAAACAATTTCTATGTATGGATAAAAAATGGCGAAGAGAAAAAAGAGAAATATGACGAGGAGGCAAAAGAAAAGGTCAAAGAGAAGTACCGAACTATCCTAACCTGTCATCATATAGAGCGTGTTCTTGGTTCTAGCGACGCATTGCCTCACCTCGCCTCGCCATGCTCGGCGCAGCCGTGTAGGAAACGAGGACCTTGCCCGCTCGGGCGAGCCGATCAGGCTCTCCCACGTGAGTGAGACAAACCTTGGCGACAGATTCCGCGAGGAGCCTGAGCGAGGGAAGCAAACACTCGTTATCCTTGCTCGGCAAGGTGCCATAGTGCTGGGCGAAGGATCCAAGCATGTCCATATTTGCCGCCAGTCGTTGTACCCTTTCACCACCCAACTGGATGTCCATTATTGCAAGTGGCAAGTAACTGTCCTGCCACCTTGTTGCCTTATTTACTCGCTTGTGGTGGGCAACGCTCCCGCCACTTTCCTGTCTCCATTACCACTGTTATGTGTTACTCTACTCTCCCGAAGCTCCGTTCAGCTCTACTAGAGATAGTAACACACCTGCTTCACGTCTTAAACCCTAAATTCTTGTTTGGGTGTAATATATAGCTAATCTGATTTTTTTATTGTCGTGCGCATTAAGCACAAAATATGTCAATGTCATCAAAGTACTGTCACGTAGGCGTCTTATCAAGGAAAACGGGAGGTAGCTTCCTTTGTTTATCTAGTGCCTCGTTTAGATTACAAGTTTTTTACTCTATTTTTATCACATCAAATCTTTAGACATATGTATGGAGTATTAAATATAGATAAAAAAAATAACTAATTATATAGTTTGATTATAAATTACGAGACGAATCTTTTGAGCCTAGTTAGGCTATGATTAAATAATAATTATCAAATACAAACAAAAATGCTATAGTGTCGAATACTGATTTCTAACCCCAATCTAAACGAGGCCTAGAGTTTGGAATCTGGAGACCAAAGACTAGACAAACCATAAAAGCCGCCACGCACACCTGGAAGCATCTGGAGGCGTGGCACTGGCACCGCAGCCGCAGCCCCGCAGCCATCGCCCGCCAGCAGCGAACTGTTCCCCGCGGCGGTGAAGCACAGGAGAGAGGCGGCGAGCGAGATAGATGGCGCCACCGATGGACCCGCCCGACGTCGACATGGAGGTGGACCCCGCGCCCCAGCCTCCGGCTCCGGCGGTCGCTGCTGTTGGGGAGGGGTGGAGCATGCTGTCCCGCGCCCGCGGGCTGCTCGAGGAGGGCAAGCCGTCCCTCGCTCTGCAGTTGGTGAGAACCCTCCCCCCTCTCCCCTTCTCCGTTCGGTCTCCATTTCACGTGCTGTCGTCTTGCGTTCGTCTCCACCGTCTCTCAATTGAATGTTACCAACTTGTCCATTAATAGTAAGGAACCCAGGGATATCGGGACGGGAACTTATCGATATCGATACGCTCAAAGTCTTGATTTGTCTAATACGGATATTGAACGGTATTCAGCGAGGGCTGCTGTCATTTCATTTCTATCACGTAATGCAAGAGAGGCAGTTTGTGTAGCTGTCTCCGATCAAACATATCCAGCCAGCCAACAAAAAACCAACATTAGCCAGCTCAAACCAACACCAGCACCAACCAGCGAACAGGCTGATCAACATATGAAATGGGGAATCCGTGGTTTTTTTTCCCGTCACGTATCGTACGTATTGGAAGCTGATCAATCGCGTGGTTAGACGATCGCGGATTCGTGGTGAACTTCCCCTGGTTTGATCTCGTTTTGGGCCGTGCTCCCGATGGCGTTATCCATCCGGCTTGAGGTTTGGCGCGGAGAGGCCAAAGGAAGATTTAGGTGTGATCCGTTCTAGGTCTTAGGGTTTGGGATTGGTTAGGTACGATTCGTTCTAGAGGATGATGCTACGGGTAGGTGCTTAGGTGCCTTGCTACTTTTGCAGCTATCCCTTTCGAATCTGTTGTCTACCTGTTTCTTGGCAAACGAAAGCAGTATTCGTCTGGTTCTGCTCAAGAAGGGAAGAAAGGAAATCGTGGCTTTATGCACACACATCTTAACTACCGCCTTTCCCCGTTGTCTGGAACTCTTGTAACTTATCCTTACCAAAATGTGTGTTTCCAGAATCCTCACTTGCAGTGTGCTGTTTGCTCGTGGTCTTTTAAGCGCATCATGTACCTCACCATTTCAATATGTGATTCACCATCAAATTTCCAGTGGCACAGCGAGTAAGAACCAAAGGCATTGCTGAATGTTGATAAACACATGTAGTTGCCAAGTAATGAAAAGCTGTCGTTTTGATCATTGTCAACTCATGTATCGTATCCCTCGCTATACTGTTGATTTATGTGCTCTCGCTAATTAGACCGTCCAATTGCGCCTAGCTCTGTTGGCATTGCATGCATGGCTGATTTGGGACATTTGGCGGGGTTCAAATACAGTCCAAGCCCTTTCCGTTAGAGTTTTATCCGTTTTTTGTTTTTTTTTTCCAATTCTGAACATGAACGGTCTGGAAAATTCAATGACTACCATCTGTAATCCTGTTGTCCATATGGCTTTAATTAAATACAGGCGATATTTGGTTGCCTGACTTCTTCTCGGCTTTCGCACTGCCATAAGGTTAACCTTTTTTTAAGGTCCCAATGTTAATACTATGTGTCTTCATAAAAAAAAGGGCGTACCCAGTGCAGAGAGCTCCCGCTCTGTGCGGGGTCTGGGGAAGGGTGTTAGTGGCAAGCCTTACCCTCGCCAGTGCAATGCGAGGAGACCGCGACTCGAACCCGGGACCTTCCGGTCACAGGCGTTAAGACTCTACCGCTTGCACCAGGCGGTAAGACTCTTATCTGTCTCCATGTGTACTTTATATTTACTTTTGGGTCTTATGAGGATATATGACACTCCTCTAAAACTTAAGAATAAGGCATTGTCACTTCCATATCCCACTGAATTGGCCCTTTTCGGTATGACAATGAGGCATGGAGTAGCATATCCTGAAACTTTTGGGGTGGTGGCATATTGTGAAAGTACACTTTTCCTTCCCCTATATAACATGGAAATTCATTTACTTTTCTTTTTAGCTTACTGTTGGATTTTAAATGTTCTCGCAACTCTGGGTATGGTCTGTGTTTTATCTGTAGAAGTTTGTAGACTGAAATTTTGTTTGTGATGGAGAGTTTAAGGCGGCAATGCATTATCTAACCATTGATGGTGTCCCATGTAAGGGCCTGCTACTTAAGCTCAAGCAGCCAAGTCAAATCGAGATTTAAGAGGTCTTATTTTCCTTTTTTTTCTTTCACAAGGAAGGCCAACGCAGGGGCCTCCGGGTGCCAATGCCGGGGATCGAACCCGGGTCACCGGCTTGAGGGCTGGCTCAAGGAGCCACTCAGACTAACCAGCCCTATGTGGTGAACTTTACTAGTTAGCAAATTTATGTTCCTGTTGGTTGAACATTAAGAGTTCATCAGAGACCTTATTGATTTGGATAAAATGCTTAACACAGTGGAATGTGATCTAGACTCAACGACAGCTTGGGTACACCTTAGCGTGCTGCGTGATCTTATATTTGTGTAAAACTGGTGGTGTCCTATCCCATATGTGCAGGGCACAGTTGATAATGTTTGTTCTTCCATTCAATATCAATCATTTTGGATTTGACCTGTTAAAAATGACCGTCAAGCCCTTATATTGGTGAGTAAGGGTAAAAGTAGAAGGTTGGTTTGGGAAAAGTTGAAGAAGAAAGCCACAGCCCACAATTAGTGTTTGGTACCCTCATAAAATTATTTGAGTACTGTACTAATTTTACACAGGAGTACAGGGCAATATAGGCCTAAACAAATCTTACTCTATATGTATTAGTGTGCGATGGTTAAATTGGAATTTCCGTATCTTGTTTGGATTAGACATGTATAGCATATTACCTGATGCATCACATGGATCGAATGAAATGCACGTCTTCTCTGTGGATTGGAGTAGTAGGCTAATTACTTCTCAACTGCAACACCACACTCTGTCATTAGTGCTTCCTGGCTGCACCCTAGCTATGTGCCTATGTTAGTGGAACTGATTTTTTTAGACCAACATTTACGCAATATAAGATTATGCCTTAGCTGTTTCCTGTGGGATCCTATGATTGCGGTGATGTGCCCCTCATAATAACACTGTAGGATTTGTTCTGGTAATGAATCAAACATTGGTAATGTGACAAGCATTCTGGTTTATTGAAATGCATAATTTCCATTTTGATTCCTTCTGGAAGGCTTCTGTTTCAATTTTGTTCGTATAGATCCCAATGATGAGCCTTGTGGTAATTATTAGCCTTTTGAACTTTATCTTGTTTCGTTGAGACTCATTTGTCTCATTTCATGACCATTCATCTGTATCTGTTATATTGATTCTCACCTTATGAAACTGTGCAGGTTCTCCTGGCCATAAGATCTCAAGGTGGTGAACAAGCGCTCATGCAGACAATGAACCGTGCACGTGAACTCTATGCGCAGAGATTGCAGGCCACTCCTAGTGTTGATGAGCTTGCCTCTTTGCTTGCCCAATGTGCCATAGCAGAGGCTCAGTCAACAAATACTAACCCTTCACAAGGACCTGGATCAGACCCTGTCGATATGCTGAATTCTGATGAGGCCTGCATTCTTGCTGAGAGTGGAAGGAAGCAGATCATCCTGGATGCGTTTGCCGATGGGAGCAGCTTCATCTGCCTGAAATGTGGTGGGCTCTTTGGCACATCTCGCAAGGATGAGCACTTAACCTACTGGTGCGGGGCTGCATGATCCTGGCTACATCTTGCTGTGGTATATCTATGGTCACACCTGGCAATGAACCGATGATCATGATACCCGTGAGATTTTGTAAAAACTTTGTTCTGTTCCTATTACTGCTTCTTTACTGCAGGGTTGCCAGAGATGCATCTGTTAAGTCGTAGTAAATACATTGCCGATGCCAAACTTCATGAACGAAAGTTTCCATCTCTATCCGTTGTATTGTACTTGTGCTTTTTGCTGATGGAAGATGTTGAGATGTTTGGCATGGTCATCAAATTCCAATAGTTGAATGTAGCAAAAGAATGTTCTTGTGGTTAGCTTCGACCCCGCAAATACTGAAACTGGATAGCAGTGATATTCATGAGAAAATCTGCAAAGAAGATAGAGCATTGCCATCACTACCTGCTAGGCTGCTACCATAAACGGTTCGTTTTCGCATCCCTTTGTCTGTTTATTAACTAATCTTCTGTTTGGATGACCAACCCGCCATGCTTATATGGTATTGTTACTGGCGTCGGTATGTTGCGTCGAAGTACTTGCTGTCAATGTATGAAATGGTTCTGGTCCTTTTGGACTGCACAAGGAATGTGCGGGCGATGCGTGTTTCTTGCCCGGTTTTGCCGAGGCTTCACTTGAAGGCAACGGAGAAAGAAGCTGAGAGCCACCTCCTATCTGCACAACTTTAGGCCCTTAGCTCCTATCATGCCTGTGGCTTACATTCTAAGTGTTTGCTGCTGGTAGCATCTTGCGATCAGTCAAGGAATTCCAGTCTTCATTTGTTAGCGCAGTTTTTCTCACCAAACCTGATATGCTCTCCTGGCTGTTTTGTTTCATATACGTCTGGTGGTGGTCAGAAAGCTGCTGGCTGCCCTTCCAAAACCTGGTGTCATCTTCTGTTGCTTTTCGAATTTCGATGATGCTCTTGTATCATCACTCATCAGGCAGTGGCAGATTGGTACTGTGCTGCAATGCCAAAAAACCATGGGTCCTCACTCTGCCAAAAAAAGTGTCATGACTAGGTTGTCCGGGGAATATTCACATTCAGCTCATTCCAATTTTTATGGGCCTATTTGGTACTAACAAATTTCAACTTTGAAGAATCTTCATCTAAAAAAACTTGAGAATTCAGAAAAAATATCGCATTACAAATGTTTTTTTATTGTGCTAATTTTCATTTCTAAAAAGTGGTTAAAATAGGAAATGATATAGTTAATATTGCGAGAAAGATTTTGTGTCAAAATCAAAAGAGTGCCATCAAAACCTACCCAAATTTGAGCCACTCTGAAGCAAAGCCTTGCAGGTTGCAACCCTCAAGCAATTTTTAACCTGGATTGCTTTCCTGCCAAACATGCCAACTACTAATCCAACATAAGCTTATTTAACTTTGCTTAATTCAGCTAGCTTGGCATGCTGTCAGTCCCTCTCAACCCCCATCACATCCCAACCTCCATTCCTTCCTCCCTTGCCAACTCTGATCTCTCACCTGAAAATGTCAATGTGAGTAGCCATTCCATCTGCACAGCACCTCGTCTACTAAACCTTATTAGCATTCACTCCAGAGTCCAGACACACACAAAAGCCAGAGGCGGAGGAGATGATGAAGGCACCCAAATAGCGCTGTCCTCTCTCTCTCTCTCTCTCTCTCTCTCTCTCTCTCTCTCTCTCTCTCTCTCTCTCTCTCTCTCTCTATATATATATATATATATATATATATATATGGATACTGAATAATAATCAGTACCGAGTCCAAGTCACCGCACCCGAGCCACCCCCGCCCGGTCCCTCGACTCACTGCGTTTTTTTCTGCCGCACCCACCTCCTCTTTATCATTTCCAGTTTTTTTTTTCCCGATAAAAAAGTTTTTTTTCCGTTCCAATCTCCAGAAGTCCAAATCGTGGGGAGGAGACTGCGGTTTCGCCCGGCTCGCCGCCCCCACCGCCGCACGAGCTCAGCTCGCCGCCCCCGCCTCACGCGCCCAGCTCATCGCCTCCCCCCTCGCCTCCGCAGCCTCCGAGGCGGGTTCCTCGGCCTCCGACGCCTCCGCAGCCATCGACCGCTGCTTCTGCAGTTCTGGCGGCCGCCTTGGCGGTGGCGCTGCGGGGCCTCCGCCGCACGAGCCCAGCTCGCCCCCTCCCCCTCACCTCCGCAGCCTCCGAGGCGGTTTCCGCGGCCTCCGACGCCTCCGAAGCCTTCGACCGCTGCATCTGCAGCCCCGGCGGCGGCCTCGTCGGTGGCGCTGCGGGTCGCCGGTTTCTTCTATCCGCTGCCGTCGCAAGCACAGATCGCCCGTCGCCCCCGCCGCAGACCCCAGATCGCCGCCGCCCTCGCCGCACGACCTCAGCTCGCCGCCGCCCTTGCTCCCTGGTTCGGCGTCGGCGAGCTCGTCGCACCTGGGCCTGCGGTTGCTACCCATCACATTGCCTCGTCGCCCCCGCCGGTCCACCCCACAACCCCGTACTCTTCTCACCTCATCAGGTTGCCGCCGCCTCGTGCCGAGGCCGAGATGTCCAGGTGATGGGCGGCCGGAGAGCTGGTTGTGGGGGCAAGAGGGACTATGCTGGCCTTGGAGTGGTCAGCCCCCTCCTCGTAGGTATCATATCCACATGATTTGTTTTAATTTTTCTTAAATCTTGGCTAGATCTGTGGAGGGAGAGTTAGTGATTTTCTCACATATTATAACCTGACATGAAAATTGCATGGCGTCTGCAGGATCCATGGAGGGAGGCAATAGACATGCAATTCATTGTAACGATGTATGATGATGCCCATGCTGCGGGACAGATCAACCCCCTCAGTTGTAATCCTGTATTGCCTCACATGATTTGTTTCCGAAGGTTCGTTTGATACATGGAGGGCATATTTGTTCTGATTTTTCTGAGGTAAACCATCTCACACGCATGCAGCTTGCCATTGTTAGGACCCATGCAAGAGGGCAGGAGGGCATGGGAGAATCGACATGCAATCCATGAACATGCACAGCTGATTTGAAGGTTCTCCAGGTTAATTAGCTAGTCCACACATGCTACAGCCAAACCAGAATGCATCAAATGTGCTCTTGCTTTTCAAGTGTCAGGCTACTAGAGTGGAAGAGGCGAGCAGCTTAGAGGTTTGATCCTGGATTCTTTCTTTGTTTTCATGCTCTAGCCAGTGTTTCTTTATTTGGTTTGACATAGATTTAGCAACAATATGACATTTTTTATATCTATGATGACAGGCATAGAAATAGATCAAGGAGACTATTTTGATCTTGTCACTGTATTTGCGGTCTTATGTACTTATGAACTTGCTGAAGTGGTCGTAATAATGAATCACACCTAAGGAGACACTCACCTAAGAATCTATCGTGCATTTAATTCCTAGTAATTATTTTTGGTATAACACATATTTTCACATTTGAAATACTACCTAATCAGTGTGGTGTGTCATTATGTGCAATAGCCGATAGGTATTGCCTCTTGTGCTAGTTAGATCAAGTTTCTGGTGAACAAGCATAAATTATTTTTCTTAACCATAGTTCCCTGCAACCGAACTGAATCTTCTTAGCTTAAGGAATATATCAGTATTTTTTTTTCATCTCAGAAGAGCTAAAATGTTTGTTGCTAAGACCTAATCAGCTACACAATGCAATATTCAAATGTCATATCATGAAAATTTTATATGATAATTTGCTTTCACGTGAACTCTCAGCTTATAAATAATGTTTGTCTGGATGTAATCTCAGATGGGAAGCTATATTGCAATATATATTATTCTTCATGCGATGATTTTTTTTCTTAAAATTTCTTGTCAAGGTCCGAAGGCCAGGAGAAGTTGTTTCCTGATAGTAAACTTCCTCTGCTTACCATTTCCTTCTCGGCATGATATTTTGTTTGCCCGATGGGTGGCAAAGCATTTCATGTTGCTTTTGAGTGACACTGAGTTCAGTCACACCCTAAAGTTTGATCAAGTGAAACTATTCCATTTTAAGCTAGCACTCTCTTTGCATCTTTACTAGCATAAGCAGGAGAATATAGTACTGAAATGTGCAATCCAGGTATAATAGAGAGAAACGCATCCTACTATTTTAATTTTGAGATGGATTAGTTCATTCCCAAGCTTAGTTTTCTAGATTGTAGACCATGGAACTACTGTGTTCCTGCTTGACGAGGTGCAGCAATGTTATTTAAATGAAATAACTTTGATTTCAGCTATCTTGAAATCGTTCGAAGCTCAGCAATGGGACTGCTTGTTAGGCAAAGCAGTGATGTTTTTGTTTTTGTTGGGGAAGCATGATTGCCTGTTTGGCATGGTTGGCCTATGGTGGTGTTTGGTCCAACTTTCTCTCCATGGAGAATATGGAGTAGTACGTGCCCAGTACTACCGAATTTGCCTGGGTGTTCTAGTTCTTTACACGGCTTGGATCTTGTATTTGTTCGTTTTAACTCGCATAACTAAAATTGATTTCTGCATCACATCACTTACTTGACCTTTTGCTGGTACAGTTTTCTCGAACTGGTTTGTGATTTTGTTTCACTGAAACTATTTGTAAAAAAGAACTATGATATGAGACTGCTGCCAGTAGCAACAGGCTAGCAACTGATCCCCATGAAGTCCGGTTGTATTGTGGCTTCTCCCACCACCACAGATGCATCCAGTCCTCCAATTTGTCTTCCCTTTTGTTTTCTTTGCTTGGCTTGTTTGGACATGCTGTTGATTCATATTTTTATTTAGTTAGAGATTGTAGCATCAAATCAACTTCCTTTTTGTGTAGTCACACCTATGAATTCTACCTGCATGTGATTTATGGCCAGCGTATGGACAGCGCTCCCATAACAATTTCTGTTGTTTGTGTGCATTATTTCGAATGCAACTTTTGTCAATTCAATTTCTCACCAGGATAAACTGTATACTTAGATTTATTTCAATCACTATCAACTTTTTTTTTTGTTTTAAGGATCTACACTCGCACTGTTCTGATGCAATTTTTGTGACCTTAAATGTATGTATGTGCTATCTGTTATCCTATTCCAACAAACTACAATGTTTCACCAGCTTTTTGTATGAACTGATGTTTTGTCAAATGACAGAGATCTCCATCCTATTTTTAAAATCCACTTTACCCTCAATATTATTGATTATGCTTCCCTGGTTAGAGCTAATATTTTCATCATTGTTATTTATCCTCTTTTCTTTCTCTTTGTTTTTTGTGCAGATCCGACTTGGGCACTAGCGCAACCACTTGTGGTGCAATATCTTTCACTTGCTGATCATCAATCCATCTATCAGATATAGATTTCCTTGGCTAATCTTGATAGGGCAGTGCCAAGAGAAGCCACAATCTTGCCACCTTGGTAATTTCTATTCCTCGTGTACTCTGTTCCTAGTTAGACCTTATGCCATTTGTTGCTCATTGCGGCTAATTCTAAAAATGCTGCACTCATGTGAACAGTTCTACTGCCACCTGTTTACTGAATTGGGCTTAGTCCACTCCATGCCAATGTATCATGGCCTCCCTCTGTCATGTTTTCTCCGTCATGTCTGATTGGATCAGGATCTTTCGTTTCTGCTCATATTCACGGCTCCATGCTATTCTGTCTCAGTTTTCTCTGCTTGCCTATATTTTCTTCTTTTCCTCTTGATAATTGTACTTCTCATTTTTCCTTTTGCTATGCAAGATATGAACATGATAAACAGAGCTAGGTTCCTCTCTAGAACGCTCAAAGGCTAGTATTGTTGAAGATGTCAACATCACTGTGCTAGTGTTCCTAGTTGCCATGCTATCATTCTTATTTTACCTAATGTTCATATGGTTTATGTGATATTTTAAGCATCTTATGAAATGTGTCCTTCCTCCTATTTTGGGACACTGCAGGAGAACCTTCAGTGCGTACTGCTACCACTAATTGCGAGGGCAGCGGGGAATAGAAGGTAATCCATTGATAGTTGCATTGGCTTGATCTTTCTGGTTCTTAATTTGAGCACAATCACTGTCTTTGCTTAATTTTCTAGAAATTGTGCTTTTGGGTTCACCATGTCGAAAAGCTTAGGATTGATATTGGTTCTACAGATAATAGTACATTGCCTAATTGAAATTTGTTCTGTACAGAATGCCACATGCTCCCTTTTGTTTGTGTAAACATCACTCATGAAGGATAGTAGGTAATTGCTTTTTCATCTAGAATAAGAGCCTTTGGCTTCAAATTGTAGTAACCTAAACTTGCTTAGTTGATTAGTTTGGGTGGTGTCAATTGTCACTTTCTGATATTACAACAGAAGTAGAAGAAATAGACAGGAATTTCTAGCCTAATTAATGGATCTCTTCTTTCTACTGTCCTCCTCGGATGTGTAGTCTCTTTTCTTCCCTATTAGCATATCTGTATTCTTTTTCTCCATGATGTGTACAGTTAAAACTTAAAGTTGTGTGTAACACTCTGATTACCAGGGAACTATCTATGAAGAATAAAATACTATTTGGTCTATGTTTACAGACTACAACCAATACATAGAAGGGATTGATTGTCTAGCTGCACTACAGAACTCTCATTACTGTGTTGAAATTGTTGAAATTAATTGATTGCTCTATCACTCTTCTTTTGTTTGGGGTTAGAGAAAATTCACGCTCCAGCTTTTGGAAAACAAGATGATTGTGGAGGGTTTCCCACTGGTAAAGTGAAAATCCTGAAATGAAGTGTCTGCTTCTCTGCATATATATTACATTTATATAGTGAATTTTCATTCTGATTTTACTTAATTAGCTCAAGGTGTCCATCTAGAGTTTACTAACTGACAATGTACATCATCAGTATTTAATCTTCTAGCTTTTCCCAGGTCATTTTTCGTATTTGTTGTCTGCACATCTACAGTGGTTGTGCTAAAGAACGAAATTAGTATGATTTTTTCCTGCCATGGAACATGAAGGATTAAATGGCTACTATTTTTTTAGATCTTATTTTGGACACGTCAAGTTTGGTAGAAGGGCAGGAGAAAGAATGACAATTATGTTCTGAATGGATAGGTACAGAACTCATAGAAACTCTTAAATGTTTTGATCCCTGGACCCATGTTGACATGTATATTTGCACTAGCCTACTCAGTGCTAATGCTTGTTTGAAATGTAGTGGTCGAGAGAGTCGTAGATTCTCTATGAGGTAGTACAGAAAATATTGAGATTTAAAATATGTGGCGTTTTAGAAGACAGTCATGTTCTAACAGTTTTTTCCTATGC